ATCTCACACCTGTCATCCCTTGACCCTTCACCCATCATCCCTCCATCTTTATCCTTTCATCTCACACCTGTCATCCCTTGACCCTTCACCCTGTCATCCCTCCATCTTTATCCTTTCATCTCACACCCTTCATCCATTGACCCTTATGCCTTCAGCCCTCAACGCTTCAACCCTCATCCCTTCATCCCTCATCCATTTGACCCTTGACCCTTATCCATTCATTCCTCACCATTTACCCCCTCATCCCTCCAACTTCATCCCGCACCCCTCTTTCCTTGAATCTTATACCTTCGTTCTTCATCTCCAACCCTCATCCCCTTATTCCTCGACCCTCAACCCTTTATTCCCTCATCCCTTCACTGTACATCTTATCATCCTTCCATTCTCATCCTCTCTCACCTGTCTTATAGGTCTGGTCTTTGTTAGTGAACTAATGACACATAGATTATATACTTGTGGAGATTGGTGGGTTTTTATTTGTTTATTTTTGTATGTTGGGGGGAAGCACTTTTGTTCATGACTTCATAACCTATACTAACATATGCATCCTGATTTAGCTGATTTACAGCAGGATAACCTTGCAGCACACAGTGTTTGTCTTATCACTATTTTGGCTTCCTAGCACTCACTGCCTAAAAAATGTTCAATATTAAGAAGTGTGTGACTTACAGCTGCAGCACAACCCAGACTGTTTAAATCAGTATTAGAGAAAATAGTCTCTATGAAATCTACTTATTTCAAGGAAACTGTTCCTGTAGCTACTGAATCTTTTAGATGTCATTTCTCAATGCAGTGAGCACCACAAACAAAGTGCCTTACCTCAGATATTTCACAACCTGGACAAATAAAACAAAATATATTTACACAGCTATAGCAACCCAATCACCAGAAAAAATGTTGGCAAACCACAGATATGTCACCTTTGTCATTATGTTGCGGATATGTTAAAACTTGATGTTTCAACAACCTTGTGGTTAGTATGTGGTTAGGTTTAGGCACAAAACACTTGGTTATGGTTGGGAAAAGATCTTGTTTTGGCTTGAAATACCTGGATTTGGGGGCACAATCCCTGCCAGTAACACAGTGATATCTCAGTGAACAACCTCTTTTTATGCCACTATCCCAAGCAGGAAAAGCGGCGAAGTTTTGGCAAAAAACAATTGCTTTTCATGCCACTATCCCGGCAGGAAATATAGCAATGTCTCGCTAAATAACCACTTTTCGTGCCACAACCCCAACAGGAAATATAGCAGTGTCTTGATAAAAAAATGGCCGCTTTTTGGGCCACTGTCTCAGCAGGAAATGTAGTGATGTCTCTGTAAAAAATTACCACTGTCTTGGCAGGAAATGCAGCAATATCTCGGTAAGAAATGACCACTTTTCATGCCACTATCTTGGCAGGAAATGTAGTGATGTCTCAGTCAAAAATCACTGCTTTTTATGCCACATCCCCGCTGGAAGCACAGTGATGGGTCGCTACAGAACACCCACCTTTGGCGCCTAAAAAGCATCTGGAAACATAACAATGACTCATTAAATCATAACCAGTTTTGATGTTTTTTGATCTGGAAAAGTCACGAGATGTCACGCTATCAACAACCCCCTTCTCCTCCCAGTGACAAAGTCAGATGTTGATATGATACATATGAAACATGTAAATGTAATGTAATCATGGTTTGCAGAAATGTAATGCAAAAGAAAATAGGTTGTTTTATTGTAATTTGGGTGAAATGAACCTTTAAACCCTGCAAAATTTTACACACAATATTTCAGCTGCCTACATTATCTTGTATTAGATCAGTTCGGTGTTTGTTAGTGTTTGCCTGCCACACAAATTGACGGTGTAGAAAAAACAGGCATCTCTCCTTATTTTCTTTGTCCAAGAACATTAAAATGTAAAATATTCTCTCCTATTTACAGGGGCCAATTTGTCAGACACCGTTTTTAACTGCTGGACTTTCAAATGTTCTACCTTGCAGATGAAGACCTTGCAGAATGATAAATCAAGACCATGCTCTCAAACTTAAATTATTTGACTCACTGGCTTGGAAACCATTATTGTCTGCATGGGGCTATTCCTCATTTTTATTGTTTATTATGTTTGAAAATATTGTGTCCTGTCCTTTTATTGCAAAAAAAGAGAACTGAACACTGTTAGTTTTTATACTGCAGCATCATATACTACTTTTATATGGGCTCACATAATTACATTTGTCATTCGGAGACAACTTGGCATGGACTTAGCCATTGATTATGTGTCAGTTTTTGGGTTAATGCGCAAATCCCACTTGGGCTGTAATTTAAACCATGTTCAAACTGGTGTTAGAACTGTCAACTTCTATTACTTTTTATGGGAACTTAATGAACAGCCTCCAGACAAACAAAGCTCAATGTTCTCCCAGGCCTTGGTATACAGATTAGAAAGCAGTTTATTTTAATCTTTAGTACTTTTTATAATCCATGTAGCATCAGTTGTGCTGGGAATTGTGGACATAATGCTATTTAGTTGAGCCTGCTTTATGTATATTTAGGTCACAGACTGGTTTTGATGAGTAAAAATTGAAACATATTGTATCTGTAGTCAGCTTAGTTGACCACAGATGCCAAGACAACGCCATCTTCCAGCTTTTTGTGTACAATAATATATATATTTTTGTTTAAATGGCTGAAAATGGGCTCAAAGATTATTTAAGCAACCAGCCTAAAGTTTCACACAGATATATTTAGATTTTAATGGACAGTTATTTGTGTCATACCCATGTATCTCCAGTTGAGGGCAGCAATACTGCTGAAAGGGATATAATCTCCTTCAAATAAAGAGGCAGAGGAAGAGGTGGAGGATGGACAATGAAGACGTTTGCTGTAAAAGAAGAAGAATGCAACCTTCACGTGCACCTTGTAAGCCACTAATTTAAGGCTGAGGAGGGCTGTATGCTCAAAGCTTTTGCGAGCAGAAGAAAAACCTGATTATTTTTCTTATGTCTATTGATCATTAAATATATTTATGCTGAATGAAGGAAAAGGGTGTGCAGATATATAACTGGTTAGGACTGCCATGTGGAGTTTGTCTCAAACTGGGAATGAGGAATGCCCATTTGTTACTGACAGATGATATTCCATCATCCTTGATGGCTTCATTATTTCCCCAGGAAAAATACACTTTTAGAATATATTTGATGAGACTTCACTTACTGATACAGCTTGACTGTATCTCCTGCTTATGTATGAAACCATGAATGGATTACTGAATGGGCCTACTGGGCACAGGCACAGGGGCCCATGGTGTCAGGGGCCCCTTTGGCCTTCATCAGCAAAATGTCACTCAAAAATCAACATGTGTGGACCAGGAGGAGTCTCAAAATGATCACAAAGAAATGTAAAGGAACTGCAAAGAGACACAACATAAATCCAAAAACAGGCAAAACAACCACAGAGAGACACACAATGACTACAAAGAGATGCAAAACTACTACAAAAATCAGGCAAAACAACCACAGGGAGACATAAAATGACTATAAGGAGATGCAAAATGACTAAAAAAAACAGGCAAACAACCACAGAGAGACAAAAAATGACTGTAAGGAGATGCAAAATGACTAAAAAAAACAGGCAAACAACCACAGAGAGACAAAAAATGACTGCAAAGAGGCACAAAATGACTACAAAGAGACAAAAAATGACTACAAAGAGACGCAACATGACTACAAAAACAGGCAAAACAACCACAGGGAGACACACAACGACTGCAAAGACTAACAAAGTGCCTACAAATATGGGCAAAACAACCACGAGGAGACACAAAACAGCTACAAAGAGACACAAAACAACTACAAAGAGACACACAATGACTACAAAGAGATACAATTTGACTACAAAAACAGACAAAACAACCACAGAGAGAGACACGCAACGACTACAAAGACTTACACAGTGCCTACAAATATAAGCAAAAATAACCACAAGGAGACACAAAACTACTACAGAGACACAAAATGACTACAATGAGACACAAAATTACTACAAAAACAGGCAAAACAACCACAGAGAGACACACAACAACTGCAAAGACTCACAAAGTGCCTACAAATATGGGCAAAACAGGGAGGAGGACACACGAGGAGACACAAAACGACTACAGAGATGCAAAACGACTACAAAAACAGACAAAATAACCACAGAGAGAGACAAAGAGGCTATGAGATGCAGAATAACTACAAAACAGGCAAAACAACCACGGAAAGACACAAAAAGACTACAAAGAGATGCAAAATGACTACAAAAACAGGCAAAACAACCACCGAGAGACACAAAAAGACTACAAAGAGATGCAAAATGACTACAAAAACAGGCAAAACAACCACAGAGAGACACAAAAAGACTACAAAGAGATGCAAAATGACTACAAAGAGACTCAAAACGACTACAAAGAGACACAAAATGAATACAAAGAGATGCAAAACAACTACAAAAACAGACAAAATAAGCACAGAGAGAGACAAAAATGCTACAAAGAGATGCAAAACGACTACAAAAACAGGCCAAACAACCACAGAGACACAAAATGACTATGTAGTGACACAAAATGGTCAAAAAGACACAAAATCATCCCAAAACCACAAAAAGATGCATAATGGCTTCAACAAAAAGCAAATAATAACAATAACAAAGGCAAAACAACCACAAAGTTACGTGTCTTGCTCTTATGTGGGAGAGGTGGTGGAGCCTTTTGCATATCTGTGCCCAGGGGCCCATTAATCTTATAATCCGCCCATGTGTGACACAAAGCAAACATATTTAAGTTTAAGAAATATCCTCACACTGTTTAAACAGACAGTTAAATTCTAAATCAATAAAAGCTTAGGAGCTCCCATGGGAGGGTCCTTATCTGGTGCTTCGTTGCGTTTAATATGTTAGACAGCCGTTTAAAGTTCCCATCTATGGTTGGTTCCCACAAACGTGCTTCGAATTTCTATTTTCCCGGCGGTCCCTGAAGGCAGCCGCAGAGGAGGAAGGAACCCTGGCAACGCTGTCACAAAGCTAACGCTAACGTTACCCGTGTAGTGCTGCTAAGCTCCTGATGCATCAGCTTTGTCAACATGCACTTACAAGTCTATCAAGGCTGGGTACCATTTGATCTTTACCTCGTAGCTTCCCCCTAACGCGTGTTAACAAATTCACAATGGAATTTTTTAACGAGCCGAGCTAGCAGACTTTTTCTTCGTCGTAGCCACAGTCAGTCGACCAGCTAACCAGAACGAGCTGTTGTTAGCTTGGTGAATATGGCGATTGTGTCTGGCTCCTGTGCCAGGGTAAACGGGTCTAGAAATGGGCCGTCTGTGTCGGCTACACCCTCCGGATCCGTCGGACAGTCTCAGCCCATGATAGCGGTGTGGGAATGGCAGGATGACCTGGGCTACTGGCGGCCTTACAGCGGCCAGGTGAGCGCCTACATCGAGCGGTGTCTGTCACCGCGGGGCCAGAGAGGAGGAGGACCCGGCTCAACGAGCATCTGCCTCGGACAATCAGACCCCAGCCTGTCGCCTTATCTCATCGACATACCAAGCTTGAAACAGTTTCGGCAGGACACAGGTGAGCCACGACATACTTTATTACTTTAATACATCCACGTTAACCCAACGTTACATTTGTAATCATTTTTTAATGTTGTGCCTCGAATTAAAGCAGTTATCAGGCCAGGCTAACAGAGGACTCTAGCTAGCTAGTTAGCTTTAGCTCACAGGGCGCTGTTGTTTTGATGAGTGTTTACACAGCTCTAAACCAAGATTAGCGAACTGCTCAGGATGAAGTTATGAAATTTAGCCTCAGGCGTCTCTGTTACATGCTTTCCTGTTATCAAACGTTAGCTAACTCATCCACATGACCTGTCTACACTGCTGACGCCTGTAACATTAGCATGTTTTGCTGCTTTGAGCTCAGCTGATTCCTGCTAGCTAGTTTGAATGAGGAGCAACAGAGCTTGCAGATTAACGGCAAATAGTTGTTATAAAACACTTGTACAAATCCCAGTGCTCCTGTAAATAATGTGAATAAAGAAAAACATTAGCTAAGTAACTGAACTGGCAGCCATTTGAGATAAGCTTGTACCAAAGTAGGGATTATAATGTTTACATTGTTGACATTTATAAATAAGGGTTCTTATCTGTGGGAACTGGGCATTTGTCTTTGTTATGGTGCCACATTGGGATTTTTGCTGAAAATGTGGATTTTGTTTTCCATATAATGCTTGCATGATCAGTTGAAATTATCTTTTTATTCTCAGGAAAGACACGGTCAGTACGTCGGTCCCTGTTTGCCCAGTCCTCAGGCCTCGGCAGTGGTGTCTACTGGGAATGGCTCAACGATGAAGGAGGATGGACTCCATATGAGACACGAACCTCTATCCTTTTGGAGCACAGCTATCAGGCCCGCCAAGGCACGGCAGATTTGGGCCCTCATGGATACAATTACATAGTGGATCTCACATCTCTGGCTCAAGTCAACAAAGCAACGGGCTTCAGACGGCAGGTCCGGCGACAGTGTAACCTCCCCTATCCACTGGCCTCCTCTGGCCCCCCGGCCATCCCCTCGGGCCCTGCCTGCTCCTGCCAGCAGTGCTTGAGCCACAGCAGCACAGGACCCATGCCCAGCCGTTCACGACATTCCTTTTCATCGGGCAGTCTGAACCGGCCCAGTCTTCAAGGGACAGGAAGGGCTGCCGCTGCTCACCCCACTTCTGTCTACTCGCCGTACCCCAGGAGACCCCTCTCTGTGGGGGGAATGTCCTGGGGCAGCCCCTGGCCTCCACCACCCTCTGGTAGTCAGCTGTCTGCACCGCTTCTGACCAGCTCTACCAGCACCAATGGGTTAAGGTTGGTATCTGATATGTGTATGGGATTGTGATTGTGTTTGCAGTGCAGTCGGTTTGGTGAAACATCAACAGAAAGATGCCCCTATGGATAAGTTAGCTGACCGAGGATGTATGCTATGGGCCCCTCTCCACCCTTTCCTCCCCTTTCTTCTTTGACTTTCCTGTCAGTCTCCACGTTGACCTATCTTGTAAAACAGGATTTACAAAAAAAAAAAAACTGTAGCTCCAGCCCTGCAGTGGCATGTTTGTTTTGGCTCAGGTCCTGTGACTCTTGTCTGTGTCATCTTCAGCCTGCCTTCTTTTCTGATCCTAACGGCATAAAACTACTTTCAAAGAATTGCTTACTTAAGTGTTATAATGGGTACACAGTTCACTTACAGTTTCTCTTTGCTCTAATTAAGTTTCATTAAGTGTATCGTCAGCCACCGGAAATTAATAATAGGATAGTAAAATGCTGGGTGCTCACACTGTGGTTAGTGTTATGAACCTCATTTTTCAGTGATTGTTCACACTTCTCAATGATTACTCTGGATGGAGTATCTAGTAAGGACAGATAACAACATTTAATAGAGTTCTACATTTTATGCATATGTATATTTATTTGTTTTGACACAGTGGCAGGTCAGTGTATTTTAAAAAAAAAAAAGAAGTAATTTAACAGCATATGCAAAATGCCACTATGTTCTAATGTGAAAGTGATAAAGCTAAGAAAATTTATTATTTAAAAATAGTGGTTATTTTTCTTACTCCATAGAGCGATTTATAATTATGTTGCAGGTTTCTTTTGACTGTAGATTAGCTGATATCGAAGGGCTTCTCATTATCAGTGACACATTTCCTCCTATTGTGTGACCAAGTCCTCTCATTTTGGGTAAAACATCCACACAGGGTTTTTTTTTTGTTTTGTTTAACTTGTCTTCATTTTGACAGATGGGACAACAGGGTTAGTGCTGAAACAAGAGGGAGATGAGTCGATCAGTTGACTGACAAAAATGTAAATAATTATTTTGATTACTGCTCAACAGTCGTAAATTTTATATTTTTGTGCCTTTGACTATTTGTCAGACGTAAAAAGCAACATGAAGACGTCACTTTGAGCTCTTTGAATTTTTGAAGGCACCTTTTCACTATTGCTTCAGGGTGTCTGCAGGTTCTTATAAAGTCTTAAAATATCTTAAATTCAATTGTATAAATATTTGGCCTTAAAGTCATTAAACAGGCTTAAATATATTGAACATGTGGACAAACATTTTGTCTAATTTAATAATCCATTTTTTTATTTCTCTTTGTCGACATGATTCAAGCTCTTATGCATCAACATCATTTCTGATGTTACAAACCTTTAAACCTACCACTGAAACAAATATGTACCTGTTGGCAAAATGCAAATTAACCTAACTCACTCTAATAACCATATTCCTACATAAAGCCTATCTCTGCACAGGACCACATTTATTGTATACTATAAAGTTATACTCACCTACATGCTTAAGTAAAAAAGAGATATTTGTCCAAAATTCAGTCTTAAATTTGGTTAAAAAAGATCCAGAAAAGGTCTTAAAAAGCATTAAGTTTAAGTGTCTTTCACCTGTAGACACCCTGTATTTGGCATTTTGTTGACTAAACTGTTAATTGAAAAAATAATAGGGGCTGCGACTAATCATTTTTAAAATTTTTCCATTAATCCGTTGATTATTTTCACGATTAATCGTCTAGTTGTTTGGTGTATAAAATGTCGTTAATTATGAAAAATGTCAGTCAGTGTTTCCCAAAGCCAGAGATGACGTCCTAAAATATTTTGTCCACAACCCAAAGATACTCAACTTACTGTCACAGAGGGTATGAACCAGTAAATCACACTTAATTTATGTATTTTTTTAATTAAAGAAATTATTCAAAGGGATTAATAAATTATCAAATTATTTGCATTTGCATTCAAACCTAAAAGATCAATCTTTAAATTATTGCAGCTCTTATGAGTATCACAATACTTCAGTAATGATACAGTTTTGTTGTCATTTTAAATGTTCTGCAATATGCTGAGTATTTACATAACATATTTCGTCACATGTTGGATTTATTACCTTTTTTTTTAACTGCAAATTATATCCCCAAAGAAAAACTTTGCCAACATCTGTTTTATCTAATCAAATAAAGTTTTCAGTCAATGTGATTAGAGGACTGAAAAAGCTTCCAAAATTTTAATTGCATTTGCAATATTAATAATTTATAATAATAAAAAAACTTGATGCATGGCGTCCATGAATCAATACAATATTGTAATACTATGCTGTATTGATTTCTTTTCAACCCCAAACTGTTTTTGGTTTACAGCTCTATTATACTTCAGTACTAACAATGTCTCATTTCTTTTCTGTGAAGGCTGTTTTGCACAGTGAGCATATTTGTTGGGCGCATATTCATCAATATATTGGATGTTGAGTCACGCTCCATAGTTGCATTATGCTCATGCAGTCAATATTAAGTTGTTGTTAATCAATCTCAGAATGGCCTAGTTATTTACTGGCCTGTCTGAATGTGGTCACTTTTTTCAGCTCCTTAAGTAAAAGGTAAATAAACCCTTGCAGTGAATTCACAGGCAGGTTTTATTTTCTCCTCTTGATGTGGGGCCAAAGCTATTCCTAACGTCAGCATGCTTAAATGTTCTAATCCTGTGAAGTGGATTGGAAACTGAAATCGTTGTTAAGGCTTTGTTTTGTTCTTTCTGCCTGGTTCATTGTTGCTGTTTTTACTGACTGAATGTCCTCTGTCCTTGTTTCCTGTCCTGCAGTGTTCCTTCCATCTCTGTGCAGCTGAATGGATCCACCAGTGTAAGCTCTGCCCTGGCAGGTAAACGGGTCACTGACCATCCATCCTGACTGTTGCCTCTGCTCTATTCTGCACCACGCGTCTGACTTGGTCGCAGGTTTCATTCAGTATAATGTTTGTGGTTCATGTGCCTTTTCCTCTGCGTTTGTCTTGTGAGTGTCAGTCTGTTCGGGAACAGCATGCCACAAAAAAAAGCTGGAAGAAGGGGGTTAATAAATAAAAAAAGAACGCACCTCTAACTTGAAGAGAGTGGGGGAAACAATGTCCCTGAAACCATCAGAGAGAGGCTTCCATTCAGCGAGAAACAAAAGTGATATGATCCTGTTTGTTTCAATAGAAAACATGAAAACAGCCTCCACACAGGCTTGTTTTTATTGAGAGCCCACACAAGTTTCCTCGTGCTCTACAAAGAATTTGGCCCTGGATGCAAAAAAAAAAAAAAAACATGATTGACTTTAGTTTGAAGTCTTTATCCTGTAAGACAGCTCTCGTCTCATTGGTCCATGCCACTGTGGTTTTTGTAAGTTGGCTCAAAGCTAAAACATAATAGATGGGACGACTAATAACAAAAACAATACACCTACATAAGTGGAATACATTAACTTGGATGATTTGTGTTTCACATAACTTGAATGTTGATGTAAAAATATATCAGTGAAACCACTATTTTATAAAATGTTTTATAGAGAGGCGAAGTCCTTCCTCTTCTTGCGGACCACATTTTGCATTAAATATGTAGTTATGAAAGACAAATGATTTTCTTTTATCTTGTTTGAATTGTGCCATGATTTACACACATGGTCATTGTTGATATAAAAGATGTTTTTGCAGGTTAAGAAAGTCAGTTTGTTGTAAAACTATTGAAGTGCAAGACTGTGAAAATACATAATTAGAAAGACTACACAAGTCACATAGGTGACATCGTGGCGTTCTCGTGCTGAAGCTAAGATGTCTGTGTGTTTTGGACTCAAACGAGCAACGAGTCTTGCCCATTCTTTCACTTCCCGACTGATAAAAAGACTAGCGATGCATGATAATATTGACACGTCATGAGTGTATGTCATTAAAATGAAATTTTTGAATCGGCCGACACGCTGAGAATATCGGTACATCATTGATATCGGCCAATATCGGCTTTAAGATTAATCACAATCAGCCAACATGTGTTTTTTTATTTTAATGTGCGCTTTTTCCCACAGATGTGTGAAGATTTAACGCCATTCATCTCACCGGTATAAAACAGGCCGCAGCGCTACCTTATTAACGACCGTAGTATTGAGCTCCAAGCTCCAACATAACCGGCTCTTTTATCTGTAACTGTCACTGTTTTTACGTTTGGGTGTAATTTATTATCATGCTGCAGCAGCCGCTCCTCCTGCTGTCTGTGCGTCCGGGCTGCTGCGCCACTTTAATGCACACACACTAACACGGTGTAGAGACGCTGCTGTGGAGACAGAAGTGAAGATAACTCGAGCTGGTGACAGCTACACTTGTTACTGTAAGTGCGATAAGGGGGCGGACTTTGCCTCTCTGTTCACAAACAGCTCAGGAGTACTTTGAGAGACTTACCCTTTACACACCTTGACCTTACTTTTTGACTCAGCTCTGTATAAAAAGGGACACAACCCTATATTAAGGTTCTCAAATTGAATTTCCCATAATTGTTGTTGAATATTGTGCTTTTTTAAATCCAAAGATACCTGACGAAAACATTAGTATGTGTATTTTGGCGTATTCCTCTCATCCATTTTTTTTGCATGCGTCCTGTGCCTGATAAATTTGCTTTCAGTTGCTTTTTTGAAGGCCCTTTTGTATCCTCACACATGCTTGTTTGGAGCGTCATGTAGATTCCTGCTCTCCCAGCTCCCCCTCAAAACATATTTGGATTCTTTTCCATAAAAGGAAACATTCAGCTGAAACACAAAGTTTCAGTCAAGAGTCTCTCTTGAAATTAAAAACACCCAAGTATGCCTCAACTTCCACAGAAACTATAATGCATTTTCTGTTCATGACGCCCAACTCACTAGTGTCAACATAATGCTTTTTTTTTGGTCATTTCGTCATATGACTCAGATCTGACAACGTCAGTTTAAGTCAGGAGAATTTACAGCCCCGCTATGTGATAACATCTTAAAGCTATTTGAAGAGCTAACAGTTATTCCAAGTACGCATATTTATCAGATACATCAGAAGTTCAGTTTCATGGAGAATATTGTATTAGTTCAAGATAATGGGCAACTGAGGTAAAAAAAAGCTAATCTTAATAGATGTATTTAGCGGTGAGATAATTTATGGTGATTTATGCCTTTTCAGTAAATCATGATAATACCATTGACTTAATTTAGATTTTGTATTCTCAGTGCGCCGAGCTCTAACATTTTGGTCACCTTGTTACCGTCTGGGGCTTATTAACACTCATGCAGCTCAGCTTGTTCTCTGTATAACCTGTGACCTGTCCGATGTTGCAGGTGTACTCACATTTAATTTTTTAATATAATGAAGTATTCTGTATTTTAAATCATTGCATACAAGGCCATTGCGGTTGTCTTTTAGAATTTCACACATGGAATTTAATTTCCATCTTGTAATGACACACGGTCACGTATATACTGCTTAGACTTTCCCTGTAGTTCTGTAGCTCGTATAGTAGGCGGGCAAGTTGCTCCATTGACATGCAAAGTGAGCTCTCACTCTTCTTATTTATTTTTTTCCGCTGCACACTTCTCAAATTATAACTCCGTTTCTTGGCTGTGATAAGCTGACTGAATCAATACAATCAGCCCGGAGGAAACTGGTGGACCAGAACCTCATTAGTGCAAAGCACCGTACCATGACTTTGGCGAATCATTTCAAATGGAAGGTCAGTCATGCGGTGTCTTCTTCAGATGTACCGTTTTAATGATCACGAGTCAGTAATGAAAATTAGCAGTTAATCAGCTCCACATTTCATGCACTTTGTTTATTTTGTATTTTCAGTTTTAAACCCGTACAATAAATACAACTGCTTCCACTATTGTTGGAGGTAGAGTTAAAAATGGGAAGAGAAGGTTCAGTATGTGTTTACAAGAGTTCGGTTTTTCATAAACAGGTGTTTAACAACATTAGATGACTAAATCAGCCTTTTACAGTGACCGAAAACTGCATATGTTAACATGATTGTTGCACTCCTTGGGCTGTTATTGACTATATTTACATTCACGGTAAAGTTCCACTATTATTCTGAATTTCATTTTCATGTAAAGAGCACATTTCATTTGCATATTCTGAATTAGACCTTATTAGTATTATTGTGTTCAGAGTATTCATCTCACCTGCAACACACAGCCTGTTGCCTTTTTCCTGTCAGCTCTGTGGGTCGTCACAGATGGGGTAGAGATGCAAAAGAAAAGGCCACATTTCTCCTCGGAAGGAGAAACACACCTACTTTAAAACATAACGAAAGACTGGATATCAACAGGTTTTTTTTGAGTATTCACAAATATCAGAAGAAGGTGGTTGAAGGAATGAAAGAGGAAGGCTGCGTTTGCAGTTGAACAAGATCGCTACCGGTGAAGGACTTTGAAAAAAATCCTATTTTTACATAAAGAAACAAAATGGCACAAGCGGCTCCAGCTGTTCCACTTTTCTATATTTTGATGTGACAAACATCAAAATATGTATAAATAATGGATGTAGTAACTGTTACATCACCCATTTGTTTGTGGACTCCTGTTTTGAAGCCCCAAGTTTGGCAATTTGTCCGTCGCCATCTTGGTTTTTTGGAGCCAGAAGTGACCTTATTTGGACGATAAGGTGTGGAGGAGTAAGGGGTGGATCTGACTCCCAGACAGCCTGTCACTCAAGCAGCCCTGCCCTTAAATATTCATTGATTTAAGCCTTAATAAAATGTAAATGGGTGAGTTGTATAAAAATTCACCCCTCATACAGTTGCCAGGAATGTTTAAGTTAGCTATAGAGACCAAAATTATTTTTTGTACCAGACTTTAAACATGTTTATTTCTGCTGTAAAGTTGGGTATTCTAACATGGGGGTCATGAGGAGTTTGCAGGCGGCCTCAAGTGGCCATTCAAGGAACTGCAGGTTTCAGCACTTATGCACTGGCTTCATTTCTCAGCTGTGGAGGTCGCCTCTAGATCCAAACCACCAGCTTTTCAAACTTTAAAAAGGAGTTGAGGCAAGTTGATCAAAAATGGTTTTGGCCATTCCTGTTGTTTCAAATACTTTAGTAGAGTAAGTAAAAACGCATCTTTAAATTCTGATGGCAAAAAATGGCAACTCTCTGGACATATTGATAATACCGCATCACAGCTCATCTTTTTACATTTCTCTGTCACTCACTGCTACGTCACATTTTGTTGTTTTATTTTGTTTTAAGTCTATCCAGTTGCGTCCAGAGGCATTTTTGTTTGCCCTTTGCTAATGCCCCTTGGAAATCGAAAAAGAACTGTGAGGTTCCAGCCCGTTGTCACTCCCATGTCGTCAAATTTGTCTGTCAAACACTGACGCAAAAAGGCACCTTTTACGGCAGGATTGACTCGCCTCTAGAGTCGGTCTCTAGTGGTCGTTCAAGGAACTGCAGTTTTTGGCAAGCTTCGCGTCGGCTTTATTTTCAGCCCCGAGGCTTGCCACTCGTGAACTACAGGTTAGGGCACGTTAATCGGAGTTCGTGCAGCTGCGTGTTAACAGGAATACTATTGGAATATTTACTTTCATTAGCCATGTAAACAGCTTTGTAGGAACCTTGTTTTTTTTTTCCAGAGTAAGGTCCAAAACAGGATTTTATTGTGCATGTAATGCAGTCAGTGAGTTTTGCCTCCAATTTTTCAACCTGGAAAATATGGCAGCTACATTGGGAACATTGTCAGGTTTGGGTTTAACGGTCTATTAAAGTAAGCTACTTCAATTCTCACCTCATCAGTTTGAGGAGAGACACAGGCCATGCATGACTTCACTTCATGTTCAATTTTTCATTTGTGAAGAAAAATTAATGTTCCATTTCCTCTCCTTAGAGGGTACATGGTGTTGCCTTAGAGCAGACGATCGTGCTAAAACTAAGATCTGCAACGCCCAGTCTGCACTGCCAAGCTGTTCCCAAGGATTGTGGTTGTCATAATGTAAACCATTCCTCATAGTCTGCTGATTGATTGGTCTGACTTCCAGCTTCTGGGCACCATCAATTCTTAGTGGATCTTTTCCAGGCTCCCGAGATAACTTGTAGTCTTCACTTAGCTCATGAGATTAATGCTAGCTTGACAACAGAAGTCCTGATTGAAAAAACAGCTTCGCTCATTAATCAACAAAGAAGAGACAGAAGATTCATAGTCAACCACTAAACCGACGGCCATATGTTAAACATGATCAGTTTGGTTTTAACTTGAAGGTTCTTGATGCTGTGACTGACTCCAGTGTTTTGTGTATGAATGAGCGACACGGTGAAAACATCAGATGCTGCTACATTTCTCATACCTTTGATTTGTTCCTTTCTACTCCTGCATATCTCCACTTGCTCTCAACCCTCACCTGCCCCACTTCTGCCCCGCCCCATCCCGCCTCAACCCAACCCCACCCTACCCCCCTGCTCCAGGCATGGCCTCCATTTTGATGTCAGCAGTGGGACTCGGCGTGCACTTCACCACTGCCCCCCTCCCTCAGCAGCAGCAGCAGCTACAACAGCAGCAGCAGCAGCAGCAGCAGCAGCAACCTGCTCCTTTCTCTCTTCCTCCTCCTCTCCTCCCCCCTGCCAGCAGGCCCAGCAAGCCCCACAGCAGCAGCAGCAGCAGCAGCACCACCACCAGTACAGTTAGGAGAGCAAAGAGGCAGCACAGGAGAGGTAGCTACCACGCCACCAGCCCTTCCTCCACCTATTTTTCTCCATTGTTCTCTTTTGCTCCAGTTATCACCACCACAGGCTTGAGGAACATTTCATCCAGCATCCACTCACTCTCACTTGTCTTCATGTGTTCATAGGGTGTGTTAACACTACTCAGCTTATGTGTTAGTCGGAAATAAAAGTGCTGCTTCTTGTGCAACTGTGAAATAAGAAGATAAGTGTGACCAATGTGCTCTAAAACCAGACCTTTGACTCGTCTGATTCAGCCTCTCTGTTCTCAATATCAGCTTGCCTACCTGCCATAAAATCCTGCTTCTCTTAAATATTTATCAGCTCTCAAAGATGAAACATGCAGCACTTTTTTTCAATACAGTCTTCTAGTTTCTCCAAGACTACCTTAATTGAAAAACGGGAGTCTGGGAAATGTGGAACAGTCCAAACTCTGCTGTGTAAGCACAATGATAGTGAAGAAAACTTCCACTATATGCTGTGGCCTTCACAGCCACCAGATCTCAAAGAAATGTCCCAGGAGCCACTGCTGCACTAAAGAGTGCAACGATTAGTCCATTATTAGTCAGTCAACAGCAAATTAATTGGCAGATATTTAGATAACTAGTCCTTTGGGTCTTTTTTTTTAACCAAGCAAAAATGCCAAAACAAATGGGCAGATAATGAAAATGATTGCAGCAGTTGCAGCACACGAAGCATCTGGCCTGCTTGAATCAAACAAAAGACGTCTTAATGCATTATATTTACTGACAAAGTTGGTGTTTGTTAAAGGGGGTTTGCTTATAGATAAGTTGGACATAAAAAACCCAAACAAAACAAGCACTTGGATTTGAATTATGAAGCTGCACTTCATCACTGCCTCTTTATTTCTGCCTGACTTTCTTTTTTCATCTCTGCATTGTCATGACCATAAATTACACCTCCTCCACACTCATTGTCTGCCACTTCTTACTTGAAATTCCTGCTCTTGAAATCAACAGGGGACAGACACACAAAAACGCAGAAAAAGTGTTGATGCCTGGAAACTTAGCAGCGAATATATTTTTTTCTTATTTCTCAGCCGGGAGAAAACCTTTCAAAATCTGGAATTAAATGGAGCTGTCTTGTGCGATAAACTCCGAAAAGACATTTGAACATTTAATAAGCTTTCAGAAATTTGCTTCCTAAACAGACTTGACACTCACACGTGTGCGTATGTGGGAGAATATGGTCCATACATGCACTAAGTGTCTGTATCCATCGCTCACGCTGCCCATCACGGTTGCACATGAACATTGAATGTTCATTCTGTCATCATGCATTCAAGTTGTCTCTGTGGCTTGTGTGTTTGCATGTTTTGCATACTGTCTGTGCACATTTATTTGTATGTAGCAGACACAGAAAGAGGAGAAATCCTTAGCTTATGTGGCCAATGTTCGCTGGAAATTCTAAAAAATTATTTGATGTTGTAAAGAAAATCATTTCCTTTCATCTCAGCACAGTCTCATCTTTTTGTTCGGCAGGTTGTTGGAGTCACAGTTTTAGTGTCTGGGCCTGTTGCAGCTCATTCATCTCTTTGTGCTTTGTCTTTTATCCCTCTTTTAGCCTCAGCTCAGAGACCCGAGGAGGTGATTCAGCGCTACATGGAGGTAGTTGGAGGAGTACCAGATGAGGTAAATGTTTCATGGTTAGGTTTTTTTTTTTCCCTCCTAGATGTCACAGAACTAAAAGAAGGTTTCGGTTCTTAAAATAGAGAAATTTCAATATAGCATTTTGATGGACCGTTCATATGGCTGTTTGCTGTTTCTGGCCTCAAACTGTAATTGTGACACTAAACACTCTGTCCCTGGGTTTCCTTCAGGACTGCATTATCTGCATGGATCAACTGTCCAATCCGTCCGGCTACGAGACACCGTCCGCAGAGGAGGGAGGCCAGAGCATCCTGCCAGACACTGTGGGGAAATTCATCAGATGTGGACACACCCTGCATATGCTCTGCATGCTGGCCATGTACAACAATGGCACAAAGGTACACGCCTGTTAAATGACTGCATGGAAACTGCTGTTTTTATGCCTCTGTGCCAGCGATGGCCGTGACCGCAGGCATTATGTTCATGGGTTGTCCATACGTCCTTCTGTCCCATTCTCATGAACAAGAAATCTCAAGAACACCGAATGGGAATTTCTTCAAATATGGCACCAGGACGAGATGAACGGATTTGACTTGGGTGGTCAAAGGTTTTTGACATGGATCTGCACTGTCAGAGACACTTGTCTGGTTCGTGGAGGCATACAAACGCAAAATGTGTGTACATATTGATCTGAGAAGTCTGCCTTGAAGTACCACATTGATGGACTGCACTTGTACAGCGCTTTTCTATTCTTCTGACTGCTCAAAATGCTTTTACGCTACGAGACACATTCCCCCATTCACACACTGGTGGCCTGAGGCTACTGTACATGGTGCCACCTGCTACTTAGTAACCATTCACACACACTCACTGATGGACAGCCACCAGGAGCAAATTTGGGGTCAGTATTTTGCCCAAGGATACTTCGACATGCAGACTGGAGGAGCTGGGGATCAAACCTCCAATCTTCTACCTCTGAGACAGCCACCTGTGTGTCCGTAACATTAGCTTTACAAAAGTTAAAGATACAAAACACTTTCACAGTGTGATGGAGTCATTGTCGTAAAGGAAAAGTTGGGCATTTGGGCAAAATATATTTAGTGGTATTTGCTCTTTTTCTTGAGTTAGATAAAAAGACTGATATCACTCTGTGCATTATGTACAGAGCTACAGTGAGGAGGCGATTCACTTAGCTTAGCGTTACGACCAGAAGCCACTGGTTGCCTGGCAACCTCAGGATGACGACAAGACTCCTAGAAGTCACTGCGCCTGGCTGCTGGTCGCCAATAAATATAATATTTCCAGCACATAACCCTCTGGGAATTGTTGTCAAGTTGTTCGCACACTTCTGTATTTCCCTGATTAAAAAGAAGGAGACACAACGGGCCTTATCTTCACCCTGGATGGAGAAAAGTGTTGCACAGCACAACTGTTACTGCTAGTTCAGACTATCGCAGTTGTCACTTTCATAGCCAGTGTTACGTTGTGTATGTGGCAAATATACTGAGGTCAGGTGCATTGTTGGCACATTGCTATTTTTAGGTAGCGAAAAGCAATTGGGTCATTCACCAACAAAAACCTGGTCTAAAGTCAGAGTGATGCAGTTTTTTCCCGTAGTTTGAATAACATATTATTCGGGTAGTAAGATGCACGCACGTACACTATGCTTGTTATATACACAGGGACACATGGATGGATTGCAAGTGGGTGAAGTGAGAGAGAAAAACGGCCCTGTAAACAGCCTGCACCTGGCTTTTAAAGGGAATGGGGGGTGACTCTGGTTGAATCCACATTAGGCCCTGAACAAAATCTTGTAACTACAGTACACAATCCATTGACTACATAACCATAGATACTCCATATATACACACTTAACAAGGCAGAACTACTTTCAGGTACAGAGCATCTTGTGTATTCCTAACTGAATTCACAGTCAGGCATCTAAAATATATTGGTGTGCTTTAAAAAATGGTTGATGATAGTGTTATGTATGTTTTAATGTGTGGAATGGTCCTTTAAAATGTGTGGCAATAGACCATTTTCCTGCTCACAGTATGTTCTAGTGTTTCATTGCTTTTTATTTGAGGTGTAGTGTATAAACTGAATACCAAATAACTCAATCATACATACAAGTGACGATGAAGCACTGGTTGATGAGACCAGAGGCGTCAAGACTTGTTGAGGGAAGGGAACACAAAACAAAAGTCTCATCAGTGGATCGATGAGTATTTGATCAGCGCCTAACCTGGTTTATATCGATCGTTTAAAAGGCTCTCTGGTCATGTTTTCCCCTCAGGACGGCAGTCTGCAGTGCCCCTCGTGTAAGACAATCTACGGAGAGAAGACCGGCACACAGCCCAAAGGCAAAATGGAAATTTACAGCATCGCCCAGTCGCTGCCAGGCCACCCAGACTGTGGCACCATCCAGATCATCTACAGCATACCACCTGGCATACAGGTACGTCTGCACACTGAGCTACCACTCTGCCAAGAATGCAAAGTAAATCCAGCCATGTATTTTGATTTTTCCTTCCAGTCTTTTATTTTCTACCAGAGCTGCAAAATCAGAGCATAAAAATTGGGTTTTTAGCACGAAAGACACCATAATTTCTCCTCCTGAACCAAAGTTAGGATTTGAAAAATTAGGGAGTTATAGTATAGTCAAGGGCTTGACAAATATGTATCAACATTATCAGATATTTTATTTGAATGGAGAGAGTACTGGCTGCTACAGAGTGAGTTGCAGTATGGCTTGTTTGGAGCCTTTAACAGTAACTTCAGCATTTTTCTCTGCAACGTTCTAAAATGGTTTTGCCTAGTCGTGACTCTTTGGTCTGAACTGAGCCTCAAGCCGCCCACACATGATCAGTGGCTAAACTGTGCCACAGTTTTCCTGTGAGGACAGCAGTGGCCCCAGGTGTACTGCTGTGTACTGCTTGAAATTGCCACGGAGCACTGCTGTCAGAGTTCAGATTATTGAAACTTTGACCCAGGTTGCCGTTGACCTTTCAAAGCGCATGGCAGCGAGGTAACAGCTGTGTGTGACATCAACAGAAGCAACAAGCAGGGGAGGTGGAGAGTAATGGAAGAAAAACTCATCCAGAGTTCTGTATAAAATCATATCACGATCTCGCAAGGTAAAGTAATACATGGTGAAATGTCAGCAGTCAGACGGGACGACCAGGTTTGTGAATAGCTTATAGTTTATGAACTGAGCTAAATCCAAAGCTGAGGTTAGCTTGTGCACTTTTTGATGAAGTGTATCTGCTCCATGCTCTGCGCCCTCCCTCACGGAGAGTGAAGAGCACATTTCTTATCACCTGAAGGCAGCTTAAATGTGCGATTTACATTATGGAAGTATTTCATGTATCACTTTTATCAGAGAAAAGACTTTGAGGACGATGACTCTACTCTTTGGACTGATCTCAGGGAAACTTATGAAATGACTGCAGGGGAAAGTACAGTCTGGACCGAAGCTCGTTCAGTGATGTTTCCAAATAAGTATTTTAACAGATTGATGTTCAGGCTCGACTGTGGGAGAGCACTCTCCTCTGTCCTATTGCGTGTGGCTCACAGTGACACCCTCCTTTGTTACAAGACTTTGTTTGTCTTGTGGGAAAACCTTAATTTCTTTCCGTGTCCTGCTGTAACCATGCGTGCGGATAAATTGCAGCGCATGTATCAGCGATCTAAAGTTACAAGAACGTGAATTAGATTTGTATTGAGCTGTTTGTCTACAGTTATCTCCAAAACACAGTTATTAGATTATTGTATTGTTCCAACTGATCTCTGCTATTAAATGTAATGTCTCTCCATTCATCAATTGGTTCTTGTCCTCCTCCTCCACCACCACCAGGGCCCGGAGCATCCCAACCCAGGACAGCCGTACACATGTAGAGGCTTCCCTCGCTTCTGTTTTCTACCAGACAACGACAAGGGCAGGAAGGTAAAAAGCAACACATCCCACAGCTGGGACCAACTCCACACCACAGACGCCTGTATACAGTGTAAACACGTATCCATACCCTACCACACGTACAAACAAACAATCAATATCTTCAGTTACATCATCACTGGAGAACCAGAGTGGAGCCAACATGACACACGAGGTGCACACAGTTCGATACCACAAACACAGGTCTCCATCAGGACTGGAGTGTTTCACTGTGATTAAATTAGGAACATTTTGTGCGCATTATAAAGTTGTGTTGTTTCCATGGTGAATTAGTAGCTCATTTCCTGCTCACTGGCAACTGCGGCCGAACACTTTAGCTTCTATAAATAATCTCCGATGTAATTCAGTAATGGAAAATTGGATTAAATTATTCCAGTTGTAGTTTATCTGCGCCTGTGCCTCAGACTCACTTCCTTCATCAGAGTCCCTGGTGTGAGGATGTTCCGCGGAGAACACGGATTTGAGAACGGACACGCAGCTCGTCCCGCAGTGTGGTAAACAGTTTAGAAAACACCCTTCACTTCCATCAATTAGGGAGCCTAACTGTCATGAATACCTGAAGTCACATAAAGCCATAGAAATAGAATGAGAGTAGAATGGACTTTCCCATTCAAAGGATGGTCAGAGCAGCGGCCATTTTTATAGCAATCATTGTAGGCAGCTAACTGCTATATAAATTTATATTTATACAAACCGACTTGTGGCCACAAACTCACTGTAGCGAGCAGTACCAACTAAACATGCAGTGGAGTAGTAATGCTGGGTTCACACTACATGATATCAGCCCGATTATGGCCCGACACAGCGACGTATGGTGTCGGCTCGGATCGTGAACAACAGTGAGTGTCGTACGCGATAATCCTTTGTTTCATCTCGTGTAGTGTGTCATAGTAGACGACAACCGATGCCA